TTAACTGTTAATCCTATGATTCAAATTTCAAAATGTCATATCAGTTCGATACTTAATTATTTTATCGACATTCTGAAAATCCTCTCCTTCAAGAGATGTGAAATATAAATATTATTCTTATGGTTGAGATACTTAAAACGCTTTGTTTTTAAGCGTTTTGTTTTGGCTGAATGGACTTGTATAATATGCTTAAGTCCTGGAAGTCTGCACTTTCTCCTATAGAAAGGTTGGGATGAAGGATGAATATATTGACATTTTCTCTGATTCTGAAAGAAATCACATGTATAAATAGTGTCAATTAAAACCGCTATCCTGAATCATTCTAAGACAGTTGTGCTTTTCTTTTATATGCACTATGTCCTTGGACATGTTTCTTAACCATTTTGTCCTTAGTTTCTCATCTCTGAAGTAGAGCTAATATTATTCCTTACCATAAAATATTGCAAAAATTATTGGCTTTAGGTCTTTTCAGGGCTTACTAGAGTCACTCAACAAAGTCAGCAAGATTGACTGATAGGTTGCATGTTTTAGCTTCCTCTAGACATTTGGAGAGGTTAACCACAAAACCTAAAAAAAAAAACAAAAAAAAAAAAAAAGAAAAGAAAAGAAAGAAAGAAATAGGTATCAGAGATTCTTTGTTCTCTTGGCTCTTCAACTCAAAAGCAGGATGGGAGCGGATATGAACCATAAGCTTCCTTTGAGGGCAGAAAAGAGAAGAGGTTATCTCACATTTCATAGTCTGTTGACAAACATGGTTCCCTTGGTAATGATAGTTTGGGTTGAGATATTTCAGTGTTGATACCTAGAAACACACACAATGGGACTGGCCAAGAGAGCAAAAAAGATGTTAATCATGTGTTTGGAACTTGTTTGAACATTAAATGGCAAAAAAGAATACAATTTGGTCTATAATCCACTAGTTGTTTTCTGCTCATTAATCTATGTTATTCATTTAAAGAAGTGATTAGCAACCTCCTGTATCACAGCACACACTGTTTTACTTTAGTATTGTGGATGACTAGTTCTATAGCTAGCATAAGTGTATAACACAACCCATGGGATGAATAAACGCACAGCTAAATGAATGAACCTTATCTTATGGGTATTACTAACAATAATGGTCAAGATTATTTTTTGGCCAGATTATAAAATTTGAAAATAGCACAAATAGTAATATAGCTGGGAAAAGAGTTCTGAGTATTTGAATATAGTATAGTATTTGAAAAATGAACTCTCAAGACAAATCTGCTGAGCTGTTGAAAGGGGGAACTTCTAGTTGCTTAGACTATTGAGCTATTACTTAAAGGACACGCAGAGAATATTGACAAATTAAAAGACATGTTCCTAGGGAATTCTGTGATCCTGAGGTGTTATACATGAAATAAGAGTTTTTTCTTTAAAAAATTAAATGAGTTAAAATTAAAATTAATTTAAAACATTTTCTATAGCATTGAAAGAAATGAAAGTATTGTCAGTTCTATATAAAAGGAATGTTGAGAGGCAATCACATCTGGTGTGAGGTCAAGAAGAAATTTCAGAGGTCTAGAGTACACATTCCTGCAGGTTTTTAATGATGGAAAATAAACACAAATAAATTTAAAACTGGGTAGCTTAGAGTATACAGGGAGTTTGGCCAACATACCTAATTCTGAATACCTGTTTTCATTTTTTTGATATGTCAAAAATAGTCAGGTAGTACACAAAATTTAATCTGGTTAAAGAAATAGAGTTTGAGTGTATTAATATTCTTATGTACTCAGTAGTTTTGACTCAGAAATCCTTCATTTAAAAATTGGCCACTGATCAGTTTTATGAGATTAAGAATTAAATGAAAAATAATGTGTTAATTCATAAATGCTTGCTACACCTTCTGGATACTTTTGAGTATTATAATCCCTCAGAAGATTTTAGAAAAAAGAAAGATGAAGAATGTTTGATTGCAGATCTATTCATAATCTTGCTCAGTCAGCAGTATTGCTACTAGTAACACTATGCAGTTCACAACAAGTCTACTGAATTGCGGGAGTGCAACACAGCTGGTTGGTTATTTTGGGTTTTATAATGCTTGCCCCGATTATGTGGCATTCAGCTAATTATATGACTAAATATCTGACTCAACAACAGAGTAGTTAATTTACTGACCACATGTGGACACGATGTTAGTCTTTCCTTCCAGTGAAAAATCAGACATAGTCACTCCAAGGAAGATGAATATACTGGACTCCTAGAGCTAATGTAGATTATATTTTATGATGTGTCCTTCTGGTGTGCTATTTTCAGTGCTTCTATTTCCATCCCTCACAAGCCTGGTTACACTGTGCTTAGGTAATAAAACCTTTACAATAGAGTTCATGTGAATCAATTATTCTTTCATCTCCTCCTGCTTTTTTAGTGAACAGTACAATCAGTTAGTATTCCTTGCATCATATACATTGGCTGGTCTCCTAGATCAATCCTATTCTCAAAAAATATTCTTATTCTCTAAGTTTACTTTTGCTTCCTACTGGAAAGTACCTGTTTTTCAACACCCAACATCACTGATGAATGTATTAGTTCTTAAAAGACACATGGCCATACAGTTATGTTTAAGAAACATGCTGAGTCAATTCTAAAAGTCAATTCTAAAATCCTAAAAAAAAAAATGTTGGCCAACATGGGGCTAGGAATATTTAATTTTTTTATATTTATGTATTTTTTTGAGAGAGAGAGAAAGAGCACAAGCAAGGGAGGGGCAGACAGAGAGGGAGAGAGATTCCAGAGCAGGCTCTGCACTGCCAGCACAGCCCAATGTGGGGCTCGATCCCATGAACTCTGAGATCATGACCTGAGCTGAAATCAAGAGTCAGGCGCTTAACCACCTGAGCCACCCAGATGCTCCAGTATGGGTGTTTTTAAATCTGTGATAAGAAAAAGTAATGTAAATCATAAAGTAATTAAGTGACATTTTTCCCCTGAAAAGATAATGCAGTAGAATGTTATTTTTGTTTTTTCTAACTGGGTTGGCTCTGTTAATTTTAACAATTATAGAAAAAATGAAGTAGAGATGTTGTTTTTCTACAGTAGAAATCCTCTGAAAAGAATAGCTGAGGAATTTGATGGGGAAGACATATTATGTTAACTGTAACATTAACAAGCATTGTCTATTTTTACCTGAGGAAGGAGAAGTATCTGTAACACTGACGTTCAGAATGCATGTTCCCTGCAGTATTCAAATTCATCTTGCAATCAACTTGGTTAGAATTTTAACTATTTTTAAAGTTGGTATGAAACACAGTTTAGGACTTGAAAAATACTCATGTCCTCAACCTACAGTGAGTTCCACAGTAAGATGTCCATTTTGGCTTCTGTTCACATGTAGCTATTCCTTTCATAATATTCTTCAGAATATTATGATGGCATCCATAATATTCTTACTGTGATGGGAATGAATAATATCTAATCTCATATAGTGCATGGATCATGGCTAAAGACAAATAAATATGACACACTGTAGTGGGTATAATTAAGTATATATAACTTGAAAAAAATATTTTGTAAACAATATGATGCGTTATTTTTTATTTGTTTTCTCTGAGGAGCTCATCCTAAATAATACAGACTTTGCTGAATTGTGTGAGTTGTTCCTTATGGTAGCTAAATGTTGTCAGAGATCTAGCAAGTAATAAGATATATTAATTAAGAGAGATAAGGAAAGGAAGGATATACAAGCCAGTATTTTTAATAGTGGAGCAAACACTTCACCCTTTAATTAAATGTGACTTGTTTGAGAATTAAATTAAAGTGGCGAAGAGCACAAGGAAGGGAAATGTGAGACATTTTCATAATGCAGTATAACCCACAAAAATACAGAAAGAGGAAATCAGTTTATTTCCCCTTTTCTTTAAAGGCTGATATTAGGGAAGAAAAATAAAAGAAGAAATTGCGTGTATGTACTGTGTGTGTGTTTTCTTGAAGGGGTAGATTGAATAGATTCAAATGATTTTTTTACAAATTATCAAACTATTACTTGTTAAATATCTAACTTTTCACGTCCAAATTAACGTTTTTTAGAAAATGAAAAACATTTTAAAACTATTTTTAAGTCAAGTATGCAAACACCTATGTGATAGGATCAAAGAAGCATCAAAATTTGATTGAAGACAAGATCCAAGGTGCTTTTCAAAGCTTTCTTGCGATGTAAGAATAAAATCAGGCGCAGGAACTTTGTGAGACCCTGGAGCTTCAGTGGGGAGAAGAGCACATGGAATTCTGTCCCTCCTGCACAAAGCGTACGCGGCCTGATAGCAGGAAAAAAATGTGCATTTTGATGATGTGCTCAAAAGGAACAGAAAGATATTTGATAATAAGGGATTTTCTGAATTGTTTAATATCTCAAAAAGGCATATTAAACGTGGTAATTCCACTTTTCTTACACTTCTTTCCCATTTAGGGCTGTAGAGGGCAATTAAGAATATGGTTGTGGAAAATGCTATAGCAAATTGTACTTTTACTGGACCTCAGGATACAGAAAAGCCACCTTCACTTAATTGTGTTCATAAAGTTATGAAAATAACCTAAGTTTGACAAGTGGTGTGGAATTAGAATATCAAGGCTAATGTGTGTTTTACTTACTTAGAGAACAGCATGTGGTTTTAGGTTGCCTACTGCACGGCAGCTGAGCTTTTGTGAATTTACCATCATAAATTCAACTATTAGGAATTCACATCATGTGGTTTTATGAAGATAGCAACAAAGAGTATTCTTAGACAACAGGCCGAATTAATATCAATGACAGTTTGAGCCCTATACTAGGAGAGCACATCCTTATTGAAGATAATATTCCTGAATATGTGATAACTTACTGAAAATATAATTTTATCAGGCAGATTATCTTATTTTTCTAACATGGTAGGAAAAAAAATGCTTGTTCCCCATTCTTCTTTTTATGTACACTGTTTTAGGAGTTAATGTTTCATATTAATTTTTCATTTGTCCATTAATTTTTTTTTTTTCCTCTTCAGGTGTAATCTAGCCCCTGTGGTGGAGTTTGCTGCAGATGTGGGAACTAAATCAGATTTTATTACCATGAATCCATCAGTTGTACAAAGAGCATTTGGAGGCTTTCGGAATGAGAGTGACAGAGAAAAATTTGTGCATAGACTTTCCATGCTGAATGACAGTGTCCTTTGGATCCCTGCTTTCATGGTCAAAGGAGGAGAGAAGCACGTGGAGTGGGTTAATGCATTAATCCTTAAGAACAAACTGAAAGTGCGAACTGCCTATCCATCATTGAGACTTATTCATGCTGTCAGAGGGTAAGTGTCTGGAAAGGACCAGTCTGTCCTTGGCACAATGGAACACATAACTAAACATTTTCCCTAGACAGGAAGGAGCTTTAGGAAAAGCTTCCAATGGATACATGTTTCTCCTTTTTTGTGATGGGTACGCTATTCGGCAACTTGCATTTTGTTTATGTGCTATGTTATCTTAAAGCTCATTCTCTTTCTTAAAAAAAGCAAATATTTGAACTTAGCATCTATTTATGTCTAGTCATGAGCATACTACTGGTTTTTATGTTTTGCCATGTTAAAGAGTAATAAGAATTCATGGTAAAGTTGATGAATTTGGGGTAAGAAAACTACCAACAGAAGTGCTAAATAGCTACTGGGCAATATTGTGGAAGCATAAATGTTAGATATATTTAAGGAGCAATTAAGTCCCTTCTGTAGTTAAGAGGTCTACTAGGGATAGAGAAGGCTGGATGAGATAACATGCCCTGATGCTTCCCCCCAAAAGCCATAGATTCCAATTGTATGAATTAAGTTAACATTTCCCTTTTATTAATACAAGCTCAGATGTAAAACCAAGAAATAGACTTTATATAAAAGTGGCAAGTGGCCAAAAGGCCAAGTTCAGTCATGCACACATATAAATGTGTAAAATATATAACACAAAGATAAGCAGTCATGTGTATTTATTGAATATCTACTGAATTCCAGATATTGGAGATAGAAAAATGAAGAAGTCTGATTACTTCTTTAAAGGAATGCCTAGGCTTTATAGCAGAAACAGATGTATATATACCAACTGGCTAGTACATAAACGAATGGTAAGAGGGTATATTGTCAGGAGTGTAGAGTTTGTTTCTCATGTTAGCAAAGAACACTTAAAAGTCTAACATTTCAACCAGACATAAAAAACAGAATAGCTATTTATCAGGGATAAAAAGAGAAAGAGAGAAACAGGACAGAGACAGAGAGAGAGAGAGAGAGGGTGACAGAGAAAACCAAACAGAAGGAAATGTTATTGCATTATTAGAGTGAACTGAGACAATGATGTAATTAAGAACAAGGTAAACTTGAGGAATAATGGAGTCCAGTGTAAAGCATTGGAATACAAGGTTGGAAAAATAACTTGTGATTTGATTGGGAAAAGAATCAGTTTTATTTTAAAGCCCAGTTATATGTGTGAATTTAGGAGAGTAAGTCTTGTAACACCAGACTCTGAATTGGCAAGAAGAGGTGCTAGGAGTATGAAGACCAATTAGACTTTTTTGATTAACATACTTGCAAGATGATAAAAATGTGGGGCAGAATTAGTGGCCATGGGAGGGAAGGGCAAGTTCAAGGGACCAATTAAATACAATGGATAGAAGTTCTAAAAGAAAAAAAAGTTTCCAAACCCAGAATTAAAAATAGTTTGCTTCATATACTGTAATTGGGACTGGGCTAAGGTGTTTTCATTTTGTTTTGTTATTGTGATACTTTCCTTCCAGGATTTACCTACTGTTCCTTGTTTAAACTCGAGACAGTTTCTTGGATTGTGTTATTCTTCACACAATTAAATTGCATTCTTATAATTAAATCATGGTTATTCAACATTCACTCTTTTGATGTTTGACATGAAGCTTCAACAAAGTAAGATAAAATACATTCATTTGGAGGATAGGTGTTTTTTTTTTTAATTACAAAGATTCCTGGTAATTACAGTTTGACTCTGAAGGAAAAAAAAAGTATTTTTAACAGGATAACTTTATAAAGCATTGTGCTAAGAACACATCTTATTTTTTGATATGTTAATGTTGAGTATCATTTGAGTGTGAGAAAATATTAAAGATAACACTGTCTTATTGTCTTATCTTAAACACACACGAAGACATATACACTCTGACACACACATAGAAATATTCATACACACTCCAGTGATAGTTTATTAAGATCCAAAAACAAATGTTTTGAAGTAAGTACTCTTTTATTATAGGAAACTAATAAAATTTAAGATTACTCTGAATTAGTACCATTTTAATAGACTATTTTCGGAGCAGTTTTAGGTTCACAGCAAAATTGAGAGGGTGGTACAGAGACTTCCCATATGCTCCCTGCCCCTGCACATGCATAGCCCCACTATCAACATCTTGTACCAGAGCCGTACATTGGTTACAACTGATGAACGTACATGGACACAACATTATCACCCAAAGTCCATAGTTTACACTGCAGTTCACTCTTAGTTTGTACATTCTGTGGGTTTTGACAAATGGGTAATAACATGTATCCTCCATTATAGTATCATACGGAGTAGTTTTACTCACCTAAAAGTCCTATTCATCCATTCCTCCTCATTAATTCATGGTAAGAACATTTTTTGTTTGCTTTGGTTTGTTTTTACCGTGTCTATAGTTTTGCTTTTTCTTGACTGTCATATAGTAGGAATCATATAGTAAGCCTTTTCAGATTGGCTTCTTGTGCTTAGCAATAAGCATGTAAAATTCCTCCATGTCTTTTCATGGCTTGACAGATCATTCTCTTTAGTGCTGAACAATCTTGCATTGTCTGGATGTACCAGTTTATTCATTCACTTGTTGCTTCCAAGTTTTGACATTTATGAATAAAGCTGTTGTACACATCTGTGTGCAGGTTTTAGGGTGGACATAATTTTCAACTCATTTGGGTAAATACCAAGGAGTATTATTGCTGGATCTTATGATAGGGGTATGTTGAGTTTTGTCAGAAATTGCCAAACTGTCTTCCGAACTGGTTGTACCATTTTATATTCTCAGTAATGAATGAGAATTCCTGTTCCTCCACATCCTCACAGCCATGCTTTCAGTGTTCTGGATTTGGGCCATTCTAATCGTTAGCGTAGTGATATTTTATTGTTGTTTTAGTTTGCATTTCTCTGATGACATAACGATGTGGGGCATCTTTTAATATGTGTATTTGTGGTCTTTATCTCTTTTTCAGTGAGAGGTGTATTGAGGTGTTGGGCCCATATTTTAGTCAGGTTGTTGGTTTTCTTATTGCTGAGTTTAAGAGGTTTTTGTAGGGGCGCCTGGGTGGCGCAGTCGGTTGAGCGTCCGACTTCAGCCAGGTCACGATCTCACCGTCTGTGAGTTCGAGCCCCGCGTCGGGCTCTGGGCTGATGGCTCGGAGCCTGGAGCCTGTTTCTGATTCTGTGTCTCCCTCTCTCTCTGCCCCTCCCCCGTTCATGCTCTGTCTCTCTCTGTCCCAAAAATAAATAAACGTTGAAAAAAAAAATTAAAAAAAAAAAATAAGAGGTTTTTGTATATTTTGGATAACGCTCCTTGACCAAGTAGGTCTTTTGCAAATATTTGCTCCCAATCTGTGGCTTGTCTTTTCATTCTTTTGACAAATGTCAAAAGAGCATAAGTTTTTATTTTTAATGAAGACCAGCTTATCAATTATTTCTTTCATGGATCATACCTTTGGTGATATATCGAAAAAGTCATTGCCAAACCCAAAGTTGTCTTGATTTTCTTCTATGTTATCTTCTAAGAATTATATAGATTTGCATTTCACATTTAGATCTATCATCCATTTTGAGTTATTTTTTGTGACGGGTATAAGGTCTGTGCCTAGATTCTTTTCTTTATATGTGGTTGTCTAGTTATTCTAGCACCATCTGTTGAAAAGATTATCTTTGGGGAGCCTGTGGGGTATATATTGAAGGGCAGGAGTGAAGTTTGGTTGCATGCACAGCCTGGGTCCTCCCAGCAATTTCCAGTGCAAGATGGTGCCAGGAGAATCTTAAAAAAAAAAAAAAAAAAAAAGACTATCTTTGCTCTCTTATATTATCTTTGCTTCTTTCTGAAACATTAGTTGACTATATGCTGTCCTGATTTTGCTAGCTTTATGGTAAATCTTGAAGTTAGGGAGTGTCAGTCCTCTGACTTTCTTTTTCCCCATTAATATTGTGTTGACTATTCTGGTCTTTTGTCTCTCCATATAAACTTTGCAATTAATATTTTGTTCCCTAAATTCTGTTGTATATTTCTTCATTCACTCTAAGTGGCAAAGCACAAAATAAGAGGTATGGTTGAAATGGAGCATTTTCAATAAATTACAATCTAAATGGAATTGTACATGATTAATAGCTATGGATTCACATAAGCTTTTTACAGACTTTTAAAATTTATTTATTTATATTGGGAGAGATTGAGAGGATGAGCAGTGAAGGGGCAGACAGAAAGGGAGAGAGAGAGAGAATCCCAAGCAGGCTCTGTGCGGCAGCGTGGGGCTTAAACTCATGAACCCGTGAGATCATGACTTGAGCCAAAACCAAGAGTCGGAGGCTTAACTGACTGAGCCACCCACATGTCCCTTTTAACAGATTTTTTTTTTAATATAGAAAGTGCAGGGGGGAGCCTGGGTGGCTTAGTGGTTAAGTGTTTAACTGCAGCTCAGGTCATGATCTCACGGTTCATGAGTTCAAGCCCCATGTTGGGCTCTGTGCTGACAGCTCAGAGCCTGGAGCCTGTTTCGGATTCTGTGTCTCCCTCTCTCTCTGCCCCTCCACCAATCATGCTCTGTATCTTTCTCTCTCTCAAAAATAAATAAACATTAAAAAATATAGAAAGTGCAGAACCTTTTAATAACTAGTTCATCAATACTCATGTTTTGTTTTATCCACATTCCTTCCATAACGATTATAAACTATTTCACCTAAGCATTTTATTCCAAAGATTAACAAGGCCAAACTTCTGACCACTGGTGAAGTTAATGGTATACTTTCTTTAGATTACTATGCTTTAGATGTTTTTCACAAGAATTGTTTTGAATTCTCCATGAAGAACTCACCTTGCTACTGTACTACTCATCCATCTATGTACTCCCCCTTCAGATGTCAAACGATTCAATTCTAAACTGTGACCCAGGATATAAAGAAGTAGTTCTAGAGGTGCCTTTCACTCTTCAAATCCCATTGGAAATTTGTACAGGTGGTATATGTGAAAGGTGACTTCATTTATGGAATTAATGAAATGAACACATTAATGCATGCAGTGTAGCATTTCAAC